ATTATTATGCGAGAATGGGTAAGGCATACAGAAAGTAGGGACAGTGCGAACCTCTGCGAAGCAGAGGTGACGTACTGTTCTATAGATAATGGCCTATCTCATATCCCGATAAGGACTGAGGCTATATAAGTATCTGAAATGAGGGTTTCATTCCATTAACATACTCGCCTTCACCACTCAACATGCAGACCCCAGTCGACGCCTATGGAGATCGTCGGGGTGAGATGGTCGTTCATCTGATGAATTCAATGAACTGCTCATTCCCAGATAACTGTGTTGCACAAATTTACCTATCCACAAGAGAAGTACTCATCCTGGCAGCTATGTGTGGATTTGCAGCTTTCAACTTGCATGGAACGGATGCGAAGGTTACCTTTGGCTTTCGAAGCGAATAGCTTACCGCAATCGAGTACAATTCCAGGGTTTCCTCAATGTCTTCACCCTGGTTCCGGCACTTCTGTTCAGCTTCAAGATTCTAGTTATAAACCAAGATAACAGTACACTAAGCGTGGTAAGCTTTTGAACAACACTTTGTGTCAGCGCGTCCAGAGTTTCTTATGTGCTGGCGAGAATGCCAGCGCCGTGCCTTCGCCGTGCCAATTCTGCGTCGGAACATGTGGACGCGCCCGATATTGATCGATCGACTGGCGCTAGCATGGCGATGGAAAGCAGTCCTGAACGCGAGCTGAGCAATACATTTTAGGGTATTGTGTCCATGTTCTGGATGTATTATGGAATGGGAGTTATTTGCGATGTTTTCTTCACTACAGGTGAAGGGTAGGTTTTTCCATCGTACCACAGGATACCTACCCTAGACCGAAAAATCTCTGTTAAGTTACATGGCAGTACAGTTACTTTTGGTTGGAGCGCTTTGTATCAGTGCATATCGAGGAACTCTGACCGCTGGAGCAGCCACAGATAGCAGAAATGCTTCAATTGCTTTGAATGCTTTATCGCAATCCGAGATATTGATATCAGAGAAGGTTAGTGCTCTGAGAGCATAGATGTGTGTCATAGAACTCTCAGCAAACGGGACGGGAAGGGAGGGGAAGGGATGAGGAGTGAAGGGATGGGAAGAGGGAAGGAGGGAGGAGTGGGAGAGGTAGGCCAAGCATCAAGAGCTGTCGCCACGCCATACTTGCGCCGCTTAATGCGCCTGACTTCTTCCATTATTGGTCAAACCACTAAGCTGGCAAGTAACGAAGTGAATCAAGTGGATCAATTGGATCAGTTGGATCGACCATGGCGCGTGTTGTGGAATGAACACTATCAGGTGATTATTCAATGGCCATTGCGTGTCAGTTTCCGCCTAACAGGGATGGCAATAACTGAATAAGCTCTCTGAAACCCTCTCTCTGTCTATCTCACTTTGGGGTTTCCATCATTTCCGAAACATCTGAATGTGATGTCGAGCTTGTAAAAATGTTGCTTGTCGCGAAAAGAAGGAAAAGAGAAAAGAGGAGGAGATAAGCTACGATCATCGTTCCGCGAAAGGATGGATCTGTGAACTTCGCGCAAGCGTTCTTCACTTTGCAAAATCTGGAACATTCTGAAGAGAATAGCAATCCTTGTGCAAAAAAAAGGACACTACATTCATTAGTGAATTTGCTATATCTAACGAGGCAGAGTCACCAAGTCGAAGTGGCCAATCACAACAAGTTGCATGCCATTAGTGAGAGCTTTAAGCGCTGATTCCATTTTTGCTTTTCCTGTTTGCAGAGTTCTTCCAGGAAAAGCGTGGTGAGCAGACTCGAGGCGAAAAAAAATGAACAATTTTCAGGGATAAAATCAATATGCTTCTCTAGACCTTCAGTGGCGGCAAGTGTCAAGATGATTCATACAAGAACTCATTTCGCCTAGTATATCAGCACTTTTATTGCTCCAAGCAACGTCTAGAAAAGCCGTTACGATAGACTTTGTCCCGAAAAATGTTTCATTTTTTCGCCTCAAAAATGCTCATAACTTCTTTCCCAGAAGTGCTCTACAAATAGAAAAAGAAAAGTTGAAATCAGCTTTACCAACTCTCATTAACTGTATGCAGTTTATGGTGATCGCCACTTCGATTTCGTGACCCTCCCTTGCAAGGCTCTTTTCGAGCACCACACTATGCGCTCTTCGCTTAGCTTATTTTGGTTCGTGTAGGTAAACACAAAATTCAATTCAGGTAAAGTCTTCTCTACGGCAAAAATACCTTAGAGATGTAGCCTGTGGCGATTCGCAATTTCTCGATGAAGCAAGCACACCAACTTACAGCGAATGCGAAATAGTGAATGTTACTCAGACCACCAAAGATACATCAAGTGCAACTGCGATGCAGATCGACAAGGAGACTGCCGAGGTTTGTTTAGTGGGGTGGTACTGCGAAAACCAGTTCAAAGGTTACGTCCACAGTCGTTCGCAGCGGCGTCGCTTTAGCGCTGTGCTAGTTATCAGTCGATTGATCCAGTAAGCACGTTCATGTACCCGGCACGGCGCTGACACGGCGTTGGCACAAGAGCGACTCTGGACATTGTTGCTGTAGCAACCAAACTGGAAGCTTGACGCAGAGTTTTCCCGTTTGATTTTGGGTCTTCCTTCATTGCAAACAGTCTGATATACTTTATCGACATTCAGAAAACGATGCTAACCGCTATCATGAGTGAAACTACGACAGCAATGGAGCTGTTTCCTGGTGAAGCCAAGACAGTAAGTTCAACATCGACGGCTCTTTACGGCCAGGTAAAGCTATAAGCTTCAACGAGTTGAATAATTTATCCTTCTGCTACTTACAGTCACTCACAAGTGAAAGCTCTGTTCTAGTGCACTACGGCGATCTATTGGCCGAGCCTGCGAAAATGGTACTGCTGCTTATTATTCAAGTACTTCAGCGAAGTTGTCTTTTTGAATTCAGTTACAATTTCGACATTATAATGATACTCAAAAAATCACAATTACAAACATCTCCAATCATAATCTAGTTTGGACCGTGAAGGTAAATGTCGTAAGTTAGAGGAGGTCATGAAGTTATCCCTTCAGACTAATGCTATTTACGAAATCGGAGCTTCTCCATCACAAGGGACACTTCTGAAAGGAGCCAAAGCAGAAATCATTGTTGTTCTTAACGCCGATGTTCCAGATGTTCCAGATGCAGTACGCCACAGCGACAAGGTAGGCGCCTGTCAAGTCCAAGATGCACTCCCTTGACTTGAATCGTTTACCATGGTTGTCTTGCTTTATAAGAACATAACATCATGACTAAAATAGCAAGGGAATTCGCCGGTAACCCAAATAAGCATGCTCATCTGGAGTTGTCGGGCACCGCCCAGTTAGAACAAGACCGTCGGACTATCTGTTAGTCTGCGTCTCGGCACGCCACATGAAACCGCATACGACTTGCATTGTGAAGATAGCCACCAAAACGGTCCGAAGTTCATTTTTGGGAACTTATGCAGCTCGTTTAGTGAATCTCAAAAGTGTCGGGAAAAAATAAAACCTTATGGCATTTTATTCTCGTGCAAAAGCGGAACTGCCAGCTAAGCCCTGTGCGGATCTCGGCAGGTTGTGGGCGACTGACCCGCTGAGCCGTAAATCGTTGCCAACAGTGTGCAGCTGTTTAGAAGAACTTTCATCTTGCCGTGTTATACTTCGCTTTTCCATTTGCTTGGTTCAACCAAGAATTCTCCCATGGTACAGGGGCTGGCTACTTTAGGTGAGGTTATGATATCAGTTCGAGCGAGAGGGGTGGCACAATAATGATAGAAAAATCCCTAAGTTGCGTCTCAGTGAGACTCTTCATTACCTCGTACTTGACCTAAGCACATCTTGTAACTACTTCTGTGCCACACAGGTTTGATAAGTG